GGTGTGAGGAATGACGTCTTCTCTTCATCTTCCTTGGCCATGTAGATTTGGTGGTAACCCTTGAAGGCATCCATGAAACTTAGGAGCTCGCACCCCGCAGTTTCGTCCACCATTTGATCTGGACTGGGAAGGGGGTATGAATCCATCGGACAAGCCTTATTAAAGTCCGTATAATCCACACACATTCTCCATGTGTCGCCCTTAGGAGCAAGGACAACGTTGGCCAACCAATCCGGGTATTTGACTTCCCGGATGTGACCCAGACTGAGGAGGTCCTTCACTTCCTTCTTGATGAACTCTCGCCGGTCACTGGCCAGGTACCGCTTCTTCTGTCGTACCGGTCGACTTCCTTCCCTCACGGCCAACCGGTGGCAGATAACAGAGTGATCTATCCCGGGCATATCCACCACGCTCCATGCGAATATGCCCGCGTATTCTTGGAGGACCCGTGTAATCTGTGCCTTGAGATCCTCGGGGAGATTTGCTCCAATTCTGACCATCCTCGTAGAATCACCCGGGTGAAGTTCGATTTCCACTGTCTTGGCCTCGGGCTCCAATTTCTCACAGGCCTCTCCCTTTGTGATCTCTTGGGAGATGACATTGACCCCCTTGGTCATTTTCTTGACTGCCCGGGCATAGCACTCCCGGGCGTTCCTCTGGTCGCCCTTCACCTCACCCACACCACCTGGAGTGTGGAACTTCATGCATAGATGATGCATGGAAATCACTGCCCCGACTCTATTGATGCCTGGCCTTCCAAGAATTACGTTGTGGACGCATTTGATGTCCACAACTATGAACCGCATCTTCTTCCACACGGTCTTTTCACCTGATCCTAGTTCGACCGGTAGAACTATGGATCCTTCAGCTTCAACGGTGTCCCCCGTGAAACCTGAGAGAGGGGTTTTGAGGGGTTCAAGTTGTGTTCGACACAACCTGAGTTTTTGGAAGGTCTCCAAGTATAAGATGTTGACACTGCTACCGGTGTCAACAAGTACCCGGGCGACATCCACCCCATTAATGTCCATGGTGATGACCAATGGATCATTGTGATCTTCACCGGTAGGAGGGAGATCCCGGTCAGTAAAGACGATCGGCTCCCTCCTAGTATGTTTACGCCTGGGCGGTTCAGCACTTACCTCTCCAACGTAAATGCTCCGGACCCAGTTCTTCCACTGCGCGGCTGAATCTCCACCCTCGGGTCCGCCGAAGATCATGCCGATGTGCTCTTTTCCTGGAGCAGGTTGCCGCTCCCTTGGCCGGTTATTCCTCCGCCGGTCGCTGTGCCGGTCATCCCCTGGGGCAGTTGGCCTAACCCATTGATGACTCTTCTCCTGGGCTTTCTGCAAGTAATCTTTGCCCAGCTCTCCACTGTCGATCATCTGTCGGATGACCCCCTTAACACTCTTGCATTCGGAGGTGTTATGGGAATTTGACCTGTGGTACGAACAATAGGTGCCCGACCACTGCCGCCCTACTTGACCGGTAGGGTTTTCTGGAGGAATGACCGGTGCTTTCCGGACTTCTTGGCATTCTTCTGTATTGACCACTCGGATGACCGGGTCATAGTGGTGCCTCGGCCGGCTAGGTCCCGGGGCTTCTTCCTTCTTGGCTTGCACCGGCTTGGGCTTGTAACCATGCTCAGCTTCTTTCTTTGCCCGGAGTTGGGTTTCAGCCTCAGCAAACTCCCATGCAGTGTGGTAGGCCTCTTGGTACGTGGCTGGGGTTTCCGGCAGAACTCCTTGTATAGTTTCCTAGCACGCAAGCCATTCAAGAGGAGGGAGAGGACGGTCTTGTCATCCATCTCTTCCACCTTGTCCACCTCTTCGTTCCACCGGGTAAGGAACTGAGTAAGGTTCTCAGACTCCCTCTGCCCGGCTGTACTAAGATAGGTGAATTTCTTCCTCTTAGTACAATTCTCCTAGAACTTGGCCTTGAACTTTGAGGCCAAATCACTGAATGAATCAATGCTTCCCGGGCGAAGCTTATTGAACCATTCAGTGGCTCGGTTCCGCAAGGTCTGGAAGAAAAGAAGGCACTTTTCTTCATCGGTGCAACCGTTCATGGTCGCACTCTGGTTGAAGGAGTCTAGATGGATTTCCGGATCCTCCTTCCCGGTGAATCTAGGGGCGTCGATCATGACCTTTCGCGGGAAAGGTGTTAGATGGACCCTTGTGGTGAACGGGGACCCTGCCAGGGGTTTGTCCCGGTCATTCTTCTCTCCGACCTTCTTTTCCAGCCTTTCCAGCTTTGCCTCCATCTGCTGGACACAGTCGTTTGGGATGGTTAACCGGTTCGCCACCGGTAACCTGGGCCGGCTTTCTGCCTCCCCTTCCTGGTGGGAGGCCCTCGTCCTCGCTGGCTCCTGCCGGTTAGACTGGGAGCGCCGGGTGCAGGCAGGCTCGGCCTCCCACACCTCACCTAGCCGGGCGAACGCGCTGACATGGGCAACGCTTTGCCCCAGCCTTTGCTTGGCTGACTTCCTCTGGCCTTCCTCCCTATCTCCCAGCCTTTCGAAGGCGGAGTTTCGGGAGGTCGCTGGCCGGATGTTTTTTCCTTTCTTCTTCTTGTGGGCCCTCGGAATGTCCCACTCGCCGTCATCACTCTCAATTGAGACGCAATGACCATCAGGAGTGATTTGCGGATTCGTAGCTTGCGGGGGACGCGACGGCCCTGCGGCGTTAAGTGCGCCGGTCAAGTTGACAGGGGCCATGGTGCTAACCAGCTGGGGCTGGAAAGGTGATGGTTGCGGCATCGGCGTCTGGAACGACGCTATCGCCATCGGAGCTTGTAGGGGCATGGTTCCCGCGCTTGGAAGGGCGAATGGGAACATACCATGGAGGAAAGGCATCCCCCCGTTCTGCTGGCACATGGCCATGACCTGGCCAAAGCCCTGGATGGCTTGTAGGTTGGCTGGGTCATTCATGAATTGAGTCATGCTTGGTGGGAACGTAACCCTCGGTCCAGTGGAAGGGACGGGGGTCGCGAAGGGACTGATCACGCTGGCCGTCGGGACAGAGCTCAGACCCAGAGGCAACACCGGGGTTGAAATGACCGGTATGGTAACAGCCACAGGGATGCTGGCGGCACCATTGGTGGCTTGCACCTGTGCGGAAGTAGCGTTGATTTGTTGGCTCGAAGACATTTCGAGTGGTGTTTTGGTGGGTAGGTTTGTGTTTAGAAGAGAAGAAACCTTAACGGTCCCACGGTCGGCGCCAAAAATGATGGTGTAAATTACTTGACCGGTCAAACTATACTGGACCGGGTCTAGAATAGTTTGCTTGATTCGACAAAGTAAGAAGGGTAAAACACGCAAACTGACCGGTAGGACTTTAGGTGGAACACCTGTAGCCCAGTTTATATTATAACGGAGAATGCACGGGTGCTTTTACAAGGGAGTTTAGAGGAAATGAATTCGGATCCCTCTTTCTGAGGTTTACACGAGTATTTATACTAGGCTATGGGGGACAAGACCACGTGCGCCCACGTGGGGGCACGATGCTGATGTGGTGCGAGGTGACTGGTTTCGTCTTTGAGCTGCCTTGTCGCCTTGTGAGGGGGATTATTCCCTTTGTCGAGTAGTGCCTTGGATGGATTCTTCAGCATCTCCAGTTGTCCTCTACTGACATGGGTCGCTACACGCCAAGCCCTCGTAGATTCTCCTCTGCCGACACTTTCCAACCCTAGAAACTACACCGGGTAATCTCCGTGGGATGAAATCATCGAAGTTTAGGGAAGAATAGGGGGACAAAGTAGTTTGACCGGTATACTTTTTCCGTGAAGTATACCGGTCATATTTTGGCCGACGATATATCGTTTTGCGGACGATTTAAGTCTCCCTTCAAAACTTTCGAGATTGACCGGTCAAAGATTTGGCCTTCTCCTTTGACCGGTCGTGGGTGGAATACACCCATCAGCAGTGTAACAATCTCACACATTATATTGGCATTCTAAAGTGATTTTTTGGTATTATAGGTTGGTATTATTGAGTCTATAAATCTTGTTTTGAAATAAAAATATGAAAGTACCATTTTGGAGTATATTTTTTCTTCTAGAAATCACTCTAAATATGACTAAAACATAAAGAAAAGTACTAAAATAAGACTTTCATGTTTTTCCCCGAAATAGGACTTTGCACTGTGGTAATGTGACTTTGCACTGTGGTAATGTGGCAGTGTACATGTGCACATTACTATACTTTTTTGGTAATATATATGACCATGTTTGGCAATGTAAGTCTTATTTCGGAAATAAAAACATGAAAGTCCTATTTTGGGATATTTTTAATGTTTTAATATTACTTTGGTCTTTCTCCCTTTTTTCTTTCTTCCTATTTTAAGTAATCCATGTGTTATATTGCCTGGGATTAATAAAAGCGGCCTTTAGAGCTGAATCTAAAGGGAAATAGACTAAAGTGGAAGTAAAACATTGAAAATATACTAAAATAGGATTTCCATTTTTTTATTCCTGAAATAGAACTTAAAATGCATTTACATTAAAAAAAATGCATTTGCATTATAAAATCATTACTACGTATATAACAAAAAGCATAGTAAAAGGTACGTGTACAGTGTCACATTACAACAGTGTTAATTTCTATTTAGAGAATAAAAATATGGAACACCTATTTTGATACATTCTCTATGTTTTATTCCTATTTAGGGTAATTTCTTGCATCTAAATCACACCGATAGGGAACAAAAGTTTAATATTTTCTTGGTTCCATAAAATTTTTCAAAAAAGAAAAATGACGTGCTATAAAAATATGAAAGTTTGATATCATTTTCTAATTTTACTCTTACTTTATAGAGATATGCTTACATGGTCCCAAGATCCACATTTAAAATATTAATGTGAACCTTCTCACATTTTTCATGAGCTTGCATGCGAATATTTTCTTTTTTGAAAAGACCTACTTCTTTTAAAGTACAAATGCACCAAGGCCCACATAATGAGCATGGACCTTAGGTCCACGAAATAATTTGCCTACTTTATAATAATGTGTGATATAATGTATAGGATAGATGAGTCATGATTACAAAATATTATCAGAATTATGTATTTTTGGGGTTATATCTTTTGCATTGCTTACGGGTTATTCCCGAATAACCAATTCAAAATTATAAAGGTCTTTCAAGACTTTTAGCACCAAAATAAGGAAGACCTTTTGCATCGTTTATTCCTGAATATCTGATGCAAAAGGTCTTTCTCATTTTGGTGCTAAATGTCTTAGATGGCCTTTTGCATTGGTTATTTTAAAAAATTAAGATGCAAAAGTTAAGATTTTTTTACAGAACATCACAGATTTATGTAGCACAACACAAGATAGATTTTACATAAGAGACTGACAACAAACAAAGAACACGATAAAGATTCAATACAACCTCTTCAACTAAACACATCCAATAAAGAATCAATACAATACACATGTCTATACCTAAACATACGCTTGCGCTTAACTAGAAACGAAAATAATAACAAAACAACTACACGTACAAATAAAATGACATACGATCAAACTTACAACATACTCCCTCCGTACTGTACTATAATATCTTGCTTTACACTATTCATGGAGTACTTTGACATTTGGGTAAGGGGTAATATGAGAATGTCAATGGAAAAAATATGCTTTCCTTATTTTGCTTAAAAGTCAGTGATACACTCGCGTATCAACTAGGGAAGGTTTGAGGCACCTTCAAGCTTATGAGGGCAGTGAGAAAGCAAGAAGGAAGAGGTTGAGGGGAGAAGAAAAGCCTTGAACGGCTGGAGGGGAGTTGAGGGAAGTGAAGAAGTGGGGAATTAAGGCTAGAGAGAGAAAGAGAGTAGGGGAAAGTGGTTCATATTTTTCATATTCTCCCATGCGGATGTACACCACCTTAAATAATGGTTCCCCAAACCCTAATTAACTAATATCTATCCTGTCGGTTCAAAAAAGGAATCGAGGTAAAGAACCGAAAAGAAACCCTCGAAGGAGCTTATAATTCGCTCACCTAAGAAAATCTAAGGTACAACGACAATAAAATAAATTAAATACCAATAAAATATTAAGTCTCATAATCCTTCCGCCACGCTGGAGGTCTCCTTTCCCTCGACCCCCGACGTAACTCCTTGCATGGATGTGCTCCCACGTCGTCTTGCTCTGGTGCCTGCGTACCTGGTTCGCCATGCACCTTGCCCTGGGATTCGGTCGTAACACTCTCCCCCTGTTCAATTACCACCTTGTCCTCAAAGTGTAAGTCCGGGTAGAATTGGCGTAGTTTGTCCATGGGCTCCCACGTAGCATCGTCTTTGTCGCCGTCTGATGGGATTAACCCGATCAGATGGCGGACCAAGAACGAGATATGAATCAGGAAGATATAATCACTCGATAATATTCTTCTATTGAGTATTCAATTGTCTCCCCCTTATACAATGGCGGGTTCTCCCCCCTTTTATAGTATTCCTAATATTGTAATTAAAATTATACAAAGTGGAAAGGATTATGGAGATCATGGGGTTGTGATTCCCCCTTTTCCGGTCTCGTTCTCTTCCCATTTCGTCCACAACTTGATGATGTGGGCCACGTGTCCCATTCTTCCCTTGGACTGGGTCACCTTGATCTACTTGCCATATGCGCAATAACGGGCTTGGCCCGTCATCTCCGTTTGACCTACCTTTTGGGCTATTATGGGCCTTTATTTGGGCCTGGAGTCGGGCCTACCCGACCCGATATCCATCACCGTCCGACCATTCCACTAACCCTTGTACCTTCGTAGCTCCTCCGACAAGCACCCTGCGCTGAGCATGAATACGAACCGGCCTCGAGACGGGGTCCCCATGGCGGAATTCCCTAGGTAATGGAAAAGATGAGATGCGTGATGCGTCCCCCCGAAAGGGTTTCAACAGGGAAACACGGAATACAGGGTGTATGCGGGAGCTATCTGGTAGTTGTAAACGATAGGCCGCCGGTCCCACCTTGGCTGTAACGCGAAAGGGCCCGTAATAACGCCGGGTGAGCTTTTGTGACCGGCGTGTCGCAACCGAGGGCTGCCTGTATGGTTGTAACTTTAGCAAGATGAGATCACCGACCTCAAAATGAACCCCGCGACGATGCTTATCGGCTGCCGCCTGCATCCTTTGTTGCGCCAATTCCAAATTCCAACGGAGAAGAATTAGTGTCTCCGCTCGCTCTGTGAGGAGTGTATCTACGGCTGGCAGTGAGCATTCCCCTTGGGTATATGGTAAAATAGTTGGCGGTTCACGACCATATAGGGCTTGAAAAGGAGTCATGCCTAATCCGCTGTGATAACTTGTATTCAATGCATATTCCGCCCATGGCAACAGGATCGTCCACCGGTTTGGGGTGTCGTGATTAAAAGCCCGTAAATATTGTTTGACCCCCCTGTTCATCACCTCAGTCTGCCCATCCATTTGTGGGTGGAAGGCGGTGCTATGGTGGAGAGTTGTCCCACTCAATTTGAGTAAGTGGCGCCAAAATTTACTCACGAAGACCCGGTCGCGATCAGAGAATCGTCTTCGGAAACCCATGGAGCTTAACCACGATATCCACAAATAAGAATGCCACGCGGTGTGCGTCAAAATCTTCCGGCAAAGCCCCCAAGTGAATAAACTTCGTCAATCTGGCGACCACAACCAAAATAACCAAAAAGCCTCTCGATGGTGGTAAGCTCACAATAAAATCTATCGAGATATCATCCCACACTTGCACGGGTATGGGCAGCGGTTGCAATAGTCCCCCCGGAGGCTGTGTAGAGTACTTCGTGGTCTGACAAATGAAACAATGGAAAATATATTTCCGGACATCACCCCGCATCGTCGGCCAATAAAAGACCATGGCCAACTGTTTGAAACTGCGATGTTCACATGCACGTCCAGCCATGGGAGTGTCGTGGTATTCATATAGAAGTTGCGTTTTGAGAGAAGAGTCACTCCCAATACACAGCCGCCGCCGGAAGTAGAGCAGCCCATCCGAAACCGAGTAGTCGGCGAGAAGAGCACCTTGCGTAAAGGCCTCATGAAGACGAATTAAATCTGGTTGTGTGCTATTATCCAACCGTATGGCGTGCATCAAATCTGGACTTGGCTGTGACATGAGAACAAGTGACTGCCCTTCGACCGGTTGCTCATCCCGACGCGAAAGAGCATCTGCCACCTTATTCGAAGCACCACTTTTATCTTCAATTTGGAAATGGAAACCCATCAACTTACGGATATAGAACTGCTGATCGGGCGTTTGAATCACCTGGTGCCAAAG